GAGGCCACCTCGAATTCTGTGTTCAGTTTTGGGCCCCTGACTACAAGAAAGACATTGAGGTGCTGGGGTGTGTCCAAAGAAGGGCAACAAAGCTGGTGAAGGGTCCAGAGCACAAGTATTGTGAAGAGCAGCTGAGGGAACTGGGGGTGTTTAGCCTGGAGGAGAGGAGGCTGAGGGGAGACCTTATTGTTGTCTACAACTACCTGAAAGGAGGTTGTAGTGGGGTGGGGGCTGATCTCTTCTCCCAAGTAACAAGCGATAGGACAGCAGCAAATGGCCTCAAGTTGCATCACGGGAGGTTGAGATTGGATATTAGGAAAAATTCCTTCACTGAAAGGGTTCTAAAGCATTGGAACAGGCTGCCCAGGGAAGTGGTTGGGTCACGTGTAGATGTAGTGCTTAGGGACATGATTTAGTGGTAGATTTGGCAGTGTTAGGTTAACGGTTGGACCCATTTATCTTAAGGGTCTTTTCCAACATGAATGATTCTATGATTCTGTGAAACTGGCTGGGAGGAGGAATTCCGGAGACAGTAGGATTCCCTCTAAGAGAGTTGTTCCCCCTGGTGATAAGATAAAAAAAGAGTCAGAGCCATAGCGCTGTCGTGTAGTAATCCTGGAACAGCAATGCTCAGAGGCCACTTCTGAGCAGCAGAGCTGGGCTGGCGGATAGACTCCAGGTGCCCCATGCAGACCTTCACAGGATTGATCCTGGTGTAAGTGTATATAAGGAACTGCCTCATGATGCATTTTTCCAGATGCCTTGTAGAAATACTTATGATGGTAGGACTCTGCCCAATGCATTGTTAATTATTTTATTAATATGTAAGCAAAAATGTGTGTTTAATTCATTTCAAGGGGTACCATAAAAGCCAGAGGGAGGTGAAAGATGTTGAAATGGCAAGACCATCTCCAAAGCTCTTCAGACTGCCACCATTCAGCCCTTTCATCATAAGCTCACAATGGCCCACCACGTTGCTCACAGAAGCTATGTGCCATCACAGGAAGACCGAGCTCTGTGCCTCCTTTGGGGTCTTTTCAGGGTGTCACAATATCTGGTCTGGGCACCTTCCATCTTATTAAATACTATTTGTGCATGGCAGGGGGTCCTGATCTCTTCCACACACAGAAGCACATCTACAAACAGCAAATGAACAGGATTGCTTCCTCTTGCAGGGCCTTTGGGGTACATGCTGAACTGCTGCTGCCAGGGGACAGAGAGGAGTCTAGAGCTCCTTTAGAAGGTCTTGAGAACAGCCTGAGCTCCTTACAGGCAAAGACAGCCCCAAGCCTTCCACTGCCTGTTAAGTAGCAGCTGAAAAGGCCCCTCTCTGTACTGTTTGCACCCTGATGGCTGCATTGGCCGTCACTTCTGCTCATGGCAGGAGGGAGGATGCACTGAGGCCCCAGCAATGCACCGCTGGTGTGGACCACCAGGCGCTCAGAGCCTGTTTTCAGGGATTGTCTTCTTTCCACTCTTGATCCTCTTTGCTCTAGCAGTCAGGGATATTGCCCCTGAGGACAGGACTCAGGCCCCCAAAGCTGTGACGCTTGGGGACAAACTCCCTGGGAAAGGGAATGGCTGCATGTGGTGGGAAGGCAGAAGATTCCTTGTGGGAGAAACCCAGGCCTGGTGTTAGGAAGGAATCCTTGCTGTCCCTGGGGCACCTCAGCCCAGAGAGTGCTTTGCACAGAGGGCAGGAAGGGGCTACGCAGTCATTTCTGAGCTGCACCAGGGGAATCTGCAGGACAACTCTCTACCAGAGCTTTGACTGTGGGCTTGGCAGCTGCCCCAAAAAATCCTCCACTTCAGCACTGTCAAACTTAAATTGCTCTCCGCTGTTTTTTCCCCAGGTGCTTCTGTGATTGTTCTCTTGAATTATACCTCAATATCCTTGGACACCCGCATTCCTCGGGACACGGTGCAGTGCTGCATTCAAGAGCCTGCTTTTTCTGTCTTACACCCTGGCAAAGAAGCAGGATGTAGACTTCATCTTCAAGGACACTGGCTGCCTGCGCTTCTGGAAGAACAAAGTCAAAACGCAATTTTCTGCAGACTTTCTTTGCACCCTGGATAGATCCGGCCACTTGCTGAAATCTCTCCTCAGCGTGAGTGTCTCTTGGCCAGCACTGCCACGGGTTCGTGGGAAATGCCCTGAAAGGCCGTTGGCAGTGACTTCTCCTTGAGTGTCCGACTCGTCTCCTGCCTGGGATGGCTGCCTCTTGCCCTTGCGCAAAGCCTGGCAGTGTTAGTACCCAGGTGCGGGCACTTGCTGTGCAGCTCCTGCTTGTAATAAAGAGGGGTTAACGCTGAGGACAGGGAGCTCTGCCAGAAGGCAGCTTTCTGCCTTAGCAGCCCACAGGCTGGCTGCCTCGGTTGGCAACAGGATCCTCTCCTGGCAGTGGTCTCACCCAGGGGTGTCTCTCCTGCAGAGGCCAGGGATGACGGGTTCAGCCGTCTCAGGCAGAAGGAACGCCCCTTCCCAGACAGGTTCGGGCGATGTCGTTGTGTTTCCCAAGTGAGTATGTTTGATTCTGCAGCCCTTGGCTGCTGACTACTCCAGCAGCTTCTCATCTTCTCTTGGGTCAGCTGCTAGTGCCAGGGATCCGCCCGCTGCTTGAAAAGGAGCTGGAGGGAGACATTTCCAAGGCCTTGATCCTGTTGTCTTCTTGTTTCCAGGATTGTGCTCCATGTAGCACTTGGAAGAGCTGCTGGGGAAGGGCCTCTTCAGACTCACATGGGGCAGGTGGTAGAAAAGAAGAAGCAAGGATGGATGAAGGGCCTAACAGAACAAGTAATGTGGGAGTGGGCTGCTGGGAGCGCCCATGTGTACAGGTTTTGCTTTAACTATTAATCTTTTATCTCAGCCTGCAGATATTCTTACTTTTACCCTTCTGATTTTCTTCCCCATGCCACTGCCAGGGAGTGTTTTATGGTACCTAACTGCCTACAATCGTTAACCAACAACAGAGGTTAACAGTGATCAGGGCTGAGTTCATGATACAGGGAAGGACCACATGTTCTTGGGATCACTCTGTGTGTCTGAGCTTTTTCAACACCCTGGCCTGTTCCTGGACTCCAGTGAGAAATGGCTCGGACACTCACAGGGAGAAGGGCTCAGGTTTGGGAGGCACCTTCAAACTTGCCCCATAACAGCCATTGTCTCCACCATGGGAGGCGAAGACTGAAGGTACCCAGGTCCCAGGAGTACTGTTGCCCCCAAAGAGCCAGGCAGGGGCTGCTGTCTCTCTGGCTGGCCTCAACCCTACAAGACATGACAGACAGCAGACAAACCCAGAGGATAAAACAAGGCCCCTCTTTGGCAAGGGCATGGCTTGATCCTCCCGCTCTTGGACTCTCTGTTTGCCTGACCAAAATGAGCTGGACCAGAACCAGTGTTCTGAAGAATAAACCATGCTTCTGGAAGTCTCATTTCTGGAATAATGAAGAATTAAGACTTTCAAGCTGCCTGTCAAAAAGTGGTTTTGGCTTCACTGGTGGAGGCCTGAAGCCTTTCCTGCTGGCAGTGTTTGAAGAGGAAGACTGTCAGGTGACTGTCATGAGACCGGATGAGCACTCCCTGATGCTTCCACGCTGTTCAGGGAAATTTCAAAATTTCTTCTCTTTGTGACTCCACCGAAAAGGCATTCTCCCTTCTTTTTTTTTTTAAAAAAATTCTTGACTAATATTTTAGAAGTCAGGCCCAGAAGCTGAACACTCAGAAAGATCAAGCCTTTAACTGAGCAATGGGGGGGCGCACAGGAAGGAGAAGATGAAAGAAACTAAGAGAGGCTGTGTAGGCACCTTTCTGAAACAGAAAACGTAATTGCCACCCTGCTACCTTCCTTCTCAAAAGCATTTTTTTCCAGAAGCTGTGGAAAAGGCAATGAAATATCAGTTTCAATGTCTCTTGCTCAGGAAATGCAAGTATTTCTGTGTCTCTCCCTGAACCTGAACCGTGACAGCTTTCTCTTTCTTTCCTTAGCTTAGGTGAGAAGACCTACCTATGCGAGGCATGTGGAAGGTGCTGGCATTACGAGCACATGAACACTGGAGACTGTAGCTCATCAGCAAAGGGTCGAGATGCTTTTTCTGGTGCTAAAAGCCACTTGAAGATACTAAAGACAGACTGTGGTAACCACCCTTGGCCTTGCTGTGTGTGAGCAGTGACAAGCAAGCCCCTCTGTTTTTTCCCAGTTACGGTCAGGAACACCATCTTCCCACTGGAATAGTATTTGGTGCGGAATGACGATTTTGCAGGGCTGGGGAAGGCCTCCCTGGGACTCTGTGACACGGAGAGACCCCCAGGAGGGCCTTTGGCTGGTGGCAGTGCTTCCTTAGCAGTGCTCAGCAGACAATGCAGTGGGGTGGCTGTGTGTGGGTTCAGGGTGAACAGGGGTTCACACAGCTCTCCCCTGTGTGTCCCTTGGCTCCTGTGCCCTTGGCGAGCAGCCTAGACTGCAGAGGGGCGGGTGTCTCTTGTTCCCATGGGGCTGAGGGAGGCTTTGGGGTTTGTTTCCAAGGCGGTGGGGCACAGGACAGTGCCAGGCTGTGTGGCCCATGCACCAACTTGGGTTGGATGAAACTCCTGGGACACACTGGGGCCTTCCAAAGCAGGAAGGGGTAGCGCTGCCCAAGTGTGCAGCAATCCCAGGGCAATGCACAAACTTCCCATCACATCTAGAGAGCCAAGGGCAAAGTGTGGCTGCCGTGTGTGAGGGATGATCACGCATACAGCTGCCACCATGGAAGTGGGGCTCTGAGCTTCCCACAGTCACTCCCACTTGGAATGGGCCTCTGCTTCTGAGATGGCCCAGGTGGCTTCTCCCGAGCTGAGAGCCAGGCAGTATGTTAAGCAGGCAGTAATATGCAGTGCTGATTGTCTGGGATGGGCTGCAGCCATAGTCTGTCTCTCTCCTTGGAGCACTGCCCAGCTTGGACTCTGTCTTATTCCCTACTGATATGCTCCCACAGAGAAAAAGCAGCGGCAAGTAAAAAACTACTTGGAAACATTTACTTTTATCATTCTGCAAGCCCAGAGGTGCATTTATATCAGCAGTGATATGAACCATGGGAACTGATGGTAAAAATGAGAAAACAGTTCTCACAAACTTATACATCTTGTGTTTGCATGGCTGCAGGGGGCCACCTGTAATCATCAATAACAAAGGAATCATAATCGGGACTGTAAATGAGCTGTTTCACAAAGGCTTCCTTGTCTGCTGGCTCGGGGTGCCAAGAAGCAAGACCATGCTTGTAGGCCCAGTCAACAATCTGCAAAAAGATAAGCAAAATGAGCTGATGAAACATTGGCACATTATCAAGTTGAAACCAACTGTAGTTTGGCCCTGGCTGTATTTTCCCTCTTTTCTCCCCTCAAAATTTCTCCCCTTTTTTGCTTTTTTTTCTTTGTGCAATTCCCTGAGTCAGCTGCACTTCATCCCTTGGGTGAGGGAATACAAGCTGCCTGCAATTACTGGCTGCTTAGAAATGCACACCCCTGCTCTGCCAAAATGGTTGGAGTGTGCAATTAAAGGAGGAGAGCAGCCCTTTAGCCACCTCCACTCACACCCTTAAGCTCCTCAGCTACACTGTGCATCCATCAGTTACTCCTACCAGGCCAATGTGATTCTCAGTGGGTGTCCCCTAAACGGAAATTACAAATTTGATGTACACAGGGCACCAATCCCACGAGTAAGACAACAAGTCCATGCCTGGCATAGTATTTAGATATTTAGTCCCCTATCAAATACAGGAGGAGAGGTTCCAAAATATCGGTTTGGAACCTAAAATCTTTTGGCAACTTGTTTCATGTTTGAATTTGACTCTAAACCCCATTTTTTCAGGTGCTGAGCACTCACAGCTCCAAGCAATAAAGCAGAACTTTGTGAGCTGTGTGGCATCCAAAATCAGAAGGCATTTTTTACATTTGGGCTTTAATGATAGGAGAAATAAAAACAGCAATTCTGATTGGAAAGATTCCTGAGAATCATTGCTTTAGGCTGTAGAATAAGTTGAATTAAAAAAAAACACAAAGGAAAAATGATGCCAGGGCAATTCCTGCCCTCCATACCACAGAAAGTAGAAATGAAAGTGGAAATGCTCACTTTCACAGCGATTTTGAGAGACACCTCTCTGATGCTGTCTAAACGGGGATAGAGTCTTCCTTCCGCAAGATTCTGCTCTGTCACCTCAGCAGCGATAGACTAGAAAGAAGAGAAAGGTTGTTTATAGAGATGGTCTCGAGCACGCATCACATTCACTAGCACTACACGATATGTGCCTGAAACCTCAGCTGTGGTGGAGCTGGGACTAGTTCTCAATGGGAACAGCTGAACTATCCAAAATACATGTATGTATACATTTAATTACAGGCTTAAAACTGGAGCCAGAATGGAAGTGGCTGTGCCAGGGCAGCAGTTGTGGAGAATGAGGAGAATCCTGTCACGGCTCCTGCACCTCTGTAGGTGCAATGGAAGCATGAGCTTTCCCTGAGACTGGGAAAGGCTGCAGCTTTTTGCTGAGGCTGTGCCATTTCCACTCAACGCATTGCCCCAAGCCAGGTTCCTGAAAACATCTGAAGTAGGTGCATGTGCCTCTTATCATCTTTTAAAAAATATCAGTTAAATGCCAGTTGGAAACCTCTGCTGTGAGAAGGAAGATATCATCAGAGATGTGCCGGACTCCGCAGGCAATGACTCCCAGTGCCACTCCTGGGAAGACGTAGGCGTTGTTTCCTTGGCCAGGGAAGAAGGTCTGTCCGTTGGGCAGGGTTACCTTTGAGAATGGACTTCCACTTGCAAATATTCCCCGGCCCTGATCAAAGAGAGAGAAAGAGGCATCCAAATTCAGAAGAGAAGTCTTACATTTCTTCTACTCGCCACAATCTGTGCCCAGGGGACTCTGGTGACCAAGTGACTCTAGCTAGTCATTGAGAGGCATCTCCATGAGAGCCATCTCCAGGTAACAATTCTGGAGAGCCTGGTCCCCGGATCTACAAAGAGGGCCATGGACAGGACCACTGAGCACTGGGTGGGTGTTTGCACTGCCCAACTGCAAGTGTTCTGAACTTGCTGAGAAGGAGTCTCTCTTCCTCCATCAACCATCTATGGAGTGGGAAGAAAGACTCATGTGGGATAAAGGTCAAAGGGGAGAGTAAGACAAGACCTCCTCTCTCATGCCAAGTCAATCCACATGACAGTAATTCTTCAGTGACATTGGGTCCAAGTTGGTTGATGAAACCATTACATAAACTAGGTTGACAAACCACAGGAGATAGTAACCTGGGAGGATGAGACCTCTCAGACAGCTACAGGTGAAGGAGGCAAGCGCTTTCTTTAGAGGGACACAAAGTAATTCTGGCTGGTAGGAACCCCAACTCCTGCTCACAGCACGGTCAGGTATGAAAACAGACCAGGTTGCTCAGGGCTTTATCCAGCCTGGTCTTGAAAACTTGCAAGGACAGAGACCGCACAAGCAATGTGGGCCCCTGTTCCACCTCCTGACTCTGCACAGTGTGGAAGTTTTTCTTCATGACCAGCTTGAACCTCTTATTTCAACTTCTTCCCACTTGTTGCTTGTCCACCCACTAGGCACCACTGGTTTCCTTGGTACAGGCATGGCCACAGTGTACCCGGAGCACCCAGCTTCCCTCTGCTGAGCTCCAGTACCTCTGTGAGGCGGTAGCACTGCTCCGCTGTGCACTCCGCTTTACTTGTGGGGTTGCTCAGGGCAAACACGATGGGCCTCTCATTGAAGGCTGCCATGTCCTTCAAAATCTTCTCAGTGAAAGCTCCTGCAATGGCTGCGACACCTAAAACAACAGCAGAGTGAGACAGTGCTTTCCGACTGTCTGACTTCAGTGCATTGGGCTGATCCCTCTTGAATGCAAGTTGGTAAATGAACTGTGGGAGGGAACAGGCTCCACCTCTGCAGATGCAGGTGGGAATGTTTCTTTCTCATATTACAGTAAGATTAAAAGCTTGTCTCAAAATAAAGTCCTCTGCTCCTCTGGTGTTTAGGCCAGTCTGACTGCAGCACTTTGCCTCTCAAAGGCTCAGCACTTTGCTTCCCACAGAGTTGTTGTCATCTTCATCCTGCCCAGCCTGCCAGGGCCATGTTTACTGCCAAGAGCTCCAGATACTGCTTCCCCCCGTGTCTCCCTCTACAGCCCTGTCTGGGAGGGCTCCTACAGCTCCCGAAGAGAGGATGCCCGTGCCCCACAGTCAAAGGGGGAAGGATGTGGATAACTCAACTGACAAAATGGGGGTGAAAAAAGCTTATTATGTTTTAACTGGGAGGAAAAAGGAGGCCCTGGAAGAAAGACAGAAGCTCTCCTACGAACTGAATTAATGTGAAAAGATCGTGCTAAGGGAACTCCACCTATAATTGCTGTAGGCTTCACTTTCTGCACAACCTCTTCCAGCGTGTTTATACTGGGGTGGTCCTGGGCAAACACTTCTTTCTCATGGTTCAGATGGCTCCTGCCCTGTGAGGAAAAAGGAGGAGTCAAACTTTGGTCTGTTGGCAAAAGGTGGAGACATAATGTATTAACTCATCTGTTCATTTAATCTCTTGGCCCTCTACCTAAACCAGATTCCACAGAGCAGGACAGCAGCATCAGCTGGGCAGGCATTGAGCTGTCAGTGTAATGCCACATGGGGCCGGTCTCTGCTCCTCTCACCCTCCAAAATACATTGATTGTGTGGAGGAAGGATCTGGCATCCAGGGCAGAGAAGTTGGACATGTAGCACAGGTCTCCTCAAGTTTGAAGAGGGACAAGGGCAGAGGTCCTGAGGACACGGAGTGCAGAGTGGGGCTGGGCCAGGCTGGACCACCAAACAGGGCACAGTGTCGCTGTTGTAATACCCCATATGACATACAAGACTTCCAGAACCATGTGAGACCACGGCCAGCAGTGTATCCTACCACTTTAGAGGCCCAGCCAAGGTGCTGCCTTTACGGCAGTCAGTGCTGCTGGTACACTTGTCACTGAGACTTAGTCCTCTGAAATCAGGAACTGCTCTGCTGACACCAATAAAACTGCAGTCCTTACTCCAGGGCTGAGCAGGGGTCCAAGGTATCTGCCTGCTCTGGCCTCTCTTTAGCTTGAAGGAGGCAGCATGGGAGTGGAGCTCCGCTCTGGAGACAAATTTACCTTCACAATCAGTCCCTTGGAGTCCACCATCCAAATTTTTTTGATGGCATCCTCTCGTGAAATTCCTTCCTTTTCCATGGCCATGAGGATGAGATGAGCTATGCCCATTGCAGCCTGGAACACAGTATATAAACACTTCACTGGGGTATCATCATCTTTTGGGGGGGAAAGATTTTAAATGAGACGTGTTGGTTCAGCCCCCAGCACTGAACAAAGCAGAGAGGCTTTCTGCTCCATGGTCGCACACTGCCATGGTATGGGGATGATTTTAACATTGTAGGTGCTGCCATAAAATAAAAACACCAACATCATCCAACAGGGCAGGCTGCCTGTGAGCCTGGAGCAGTGGAGGTGGTACCTTGACAGGCAGAGGCTGATCCATCATTTAAACCAGCTGCTGCAGGGGAGGAAAAGGTGCAGACACCGAACAAACGTTGGTGACGATGCCAGTACAGAGGAACTCAAAGCAAAGTGGGATTGCTGCTTCTGAAGTACTGCCAGGAGGAAAGTCCTCTTCTCCCATTCCTGCCTAAGGAAGCAGCCCTGGACATGCTGTGTGTGTTAGTGGTCCTACAGCTGTGCCTGGCCCTCCTGCCCAGACAGGGACTAACAAGGCAGGAGGGTCTCTGTGCCACAGAGACAGCGACCAGCACAGACATGTCTGCCAGGAGGGGTGGAGAAAGAGAACAATCTGTTTCATAGAGGCATAGACAAACAGTGAGTAACAGACCTTGACCTGGACCAATGCCTTTAGTCCACAGTCCAAGCATTAGAGACTTTCTCTTTCCCCTCTCTCTTTGAACAAGGCGCCATACCGACTAGCTGACTTTTGCCATGGGGGCAATATGACTGGTTTCAAAAAGTAAGGTTATGTTCTTACAGTTCTTTGAGTCTGAGTCGTTTTGACTATATTGCTAAAGAGGCTCTGGTCTACCCTAAATACCAACCCTGAGGACTCAAACCAGTCTCCTTAATGTTCCTGCAGCACCCTGCCTCATAAGGGACTTCCCTCAAGGTACTTAAAGCCCCACTGACACTCGAGCAGCCTCATAGCATCCAGGAAGTCTGCCCAGGACTCACGGGCCAAAAGGTCACTGAAAGATTGTTGGCAACTTTTATGCAGCAGCAAGATCCACCTGTGGGGCCCGCTCTTGCCCAGTGGCAAGCAACCAGCTTCTGTGCTTTGTTTTCATGAAGCCAAGCTTTGCAGGAAGTTTCATGGTTGACTTTTCTCTCTCTAAATTTGAATTTAGATCATATTTAGGAACAAACTCAAGAACATTCCTACCTCTCCAGCTCCCTGGAAAACAAATTTATGGTCAGAGAGCCTGTTCTTTGTGATCCTTAAGGCTGCAAAGATGCCAGCGACTGCAACAGACGCAGTGCCTGAAAAGAGAGAAACACCATGAGATGGACATCCTGGCAAAAGGACTGTCTACCCTACTGATAAGCTGTTAGAACCCTTGTGGTAGATACTATTCTCTTAGATTCTGCCATTAAGGGATCAGAGTGCCTTCCCTGTTCTGAAATATTAATCCTCAGAAGACCCCTGCAAAGCAGGAGAACACCAATTTCCTTCTATATAGAGTCAAAGGGACACCGAACCCTAGAATGCCAGAAGTTAGTACCTAACTCCCCAGGGTTTAACATGCATGTGACTTGTCTAAGGTCACATAAGACATCTGTAGCAAAGTGGTGGTCTGAACTTGGGCACCCTTGTCACAAAATCCTCTGTGATCATGGAATTACCATCCTCTTCTCATTTACCTTCACAGCCCAGCACCACTATCTCTTTTTTCACTTCCCTGATACTCTGATACCCTGACTCGGAGCCATCATGCCTCACTGCCAAGCGTTATGGAGTCACTGAGAACATAAGTTGGTCCCAGATTAGTGAGAAAGAACCCAGCCTATGGAGAGCAGAGTCTTTTTGCTACAGCCACTGCGCTGTGCACAGCTTTCTGTCCATCAAAGGAGGCAGATGTCACCTTCACCTCACACTGATCACATCTATTATTCACCTAATGTTCTACCCCAGGTGAAGGAACATGGTGGGAAGACATCAAGTGTGGCACAGATTAATGAGGATTCAGGCACTGGGGGTACCCCAGGTCAACTGGGAAAGCTGGATACGAGTGTTACAGGTGAGCTAGGAATGAAGAAGGCAGTTTTACCACAGAATACCTCAAGTTGGAAGGGACCCATAAGGATCATCAGGTCCGTTAGTTTTATTCCTCAGCATTTGAAAGGATACCAGTTGGGATGTGCCCCAGCTCTGATACTGTCCTCAGCTCTAATGCTGGTCTCTCTGTTCTCATCTCCAGAAGCTTTGTGAGAAATCAGGGAGGCCACAAGTAACAAGCCTTGTGGGGGTGGTCATGGGTGGGATGGACGACAAAGCCTTTTAGGCTTATAAACCCACTTTCACCCTATTTCCAGCATTTCCTATTTTTCTGCCTATTTAATCAGACAGTGCATTGGGGTTTCAATCAGCCGGTGCTTCAGTGAGATGCCCTGCAGGGTCCTGAGGGCCTGGGGTGCCGCCAGGCATCGGTCAGAAGCCCGGCTGGGAAGCAGAGCAGCCCATGAGCAAAGCACAGCCTCGAGCGTGAAACCAGCAGATGGTGCTGCCTCATCTGTCAAGGACTGAGAAAATAAATTCAGCTTTACCTGCTCCTTTTCTTTAGTGCAAAAGCCACAGCTAAACTAGAAATCTACCGGTATATCATGGCATTGGGGAATGATTTACTCTCATTCTTTCCATGCAAGTAGAAAACCTAGTGGGAGCACAGTTATTCTGGCAGAGAAGTAACTTATTGACATGGCTTATTTTGCTTAGGGAACCTATATAAGCTACTCTGACAAAGAAAATCTTTATTGGCCAGATCAGAAGTGTTTAGCAGTACTATTAGCAGACCAACATCTTGGATTTATAACTCATCTGAGTTTAGTTCTCCAAAAATTATTAATTAATGCCACAAGAGTGATTCTGTTTTCGCAGAGGTGGCGGTGGCCACATTCCTGCTGCAAACATTAGCACTGTGGCATCCATGCACAGGGACTCTGGTACAGAATGGCAGCAGCATCATTTCTTACTCATGAGGGCATTGCAAGCAGAAGTCTTAAACACAAAATGGACTAGATTAATAGTTGGTGGCTTCATAAGCTTCTTTCTTGCAATGAATCACTTGAGACACTCGCTTCAGCACCAAGGATGAATTCCCTTCATTAGCTCAGAAAACTGCTTGTATCATTTTATTTATAGATCCAGACTATCTGAGTTCAATCAGTTTAAAAGGGAGTTGATGGGGAGGGAACCAGGCACCGAGTGCTCTGCTGCTTCATTATTAACATGTCAACTCAGACAACTGAAGGATGTATATGAAGGATTTCCTCTTGCTTCTCCTGCACTAAATGTCTGCCTTTTTCAACAGTATTTAGAGTAATGTATTTACCTGGCAAAATGCCATGCCATTGGACTAGAAAAATTACAGAGGAAGATAATGAACATCCAAAGAATTTAAGGGAACAACAGATAATTGTCTAGTTTTTAGATTTTGCTTTTTATGGGTGTCACATAGCTAGCCCGTGCTCATTCTCTGTGTTTTGGTAAGTCTATGATAGGCAAGACTGCTTGGCTTGCTGCCATGCCAGATGCTAAGGATGGGACTCCTCCAAATAAACATGTATGATTCTGGTTATGCTAAAGCAGACACCTGAACTGGGTCAAATGACATGCACCCAAAAGTGTCACTCTACCACAGTTTTTAAAGAGAGACAAGATAACTGGAGTACATGCAGACACTTCTAAACTAGGGAGGAAGGGATCCCACCCTGGCAATCTGAACTGCAAGGAAGTGGGGAGAGACCAGGGTTCCACAGTTGTCAGTAACATCAAGCTAGAAACATCCAGTAGAATATGAACACCTATGCATATGCTCACACATGTTCACATGCTACCTCCCAGGCTCACTTTGCACAGTAATCCCCAAATCCCCACCTGGGTGAGAGTGGGAAACTGATCAGAGGAAAAAATCCAGAAGTGGAACAATTACAGTGAGACAGCGTAAGTGTCAGGTCACAGCATTAGCAACAATAGATGTCTGGAAAGTATCTGAAAGAAAGAAGTTTCTTTTGTTCTCTTGGTCCTGACCCAGGCAAAACTGCTTTATACCCTATGATCATCAAGAAGTCTGATGGCACAAACACTGGTATCTGCAAACCCATTTAAATGAAAAATGCTTGTGGGGCATTCAGCAGAGGGACGCATGGTCTTTTTAAAGATGTTACTAGCAGGAATTTGAGAAGGAGGGCATATGGAAAGAAAGGTTGCACAGATCCAGTCTGCAGAGCAGCGTGCATTTTGCAGAGCGGAGACCTGTGGGACTGGGTGTGCCGCTACTCGTTCCCCTGCACTTGCACTGCAGCTCTGACTAACAGCAGGACTCTGTTCAGCTCTGCCATTCCTAATTCTCCTCCTCTCTCTCCAATGTGTTTCTAATCCCTCCACATCTCCCAGACTGCATCTCACCCCCATTACTCAAGTAACAAAGTTACTGTACCCTGGCCTCAGTTTAGTATTTTTCTTTGATGATTACAATTTCTGAGCATGGAACAACAGAACATCTCTATGGAGGAGAGTTCACAGCTGGTTTGTGTAAGGAATTGGCTAATCATTGTGCTTCAATTCCAAAAAGACCACAAAATGAGATGGAGGGGGGAACTCCTCACTATGAATTGTGGCAAGAAAAAAACAAGTACCCTTCAACACACTGGTGTGTGTTCCAGAGACTGAATGCTCCTATTGCAGATAACTACTTCCTTAAGTAATTAGCAAGAGCCAGCTTGGCTGGTCTGTATCTGAGGTGAGATATGGAGGGGCACAGAGAGAAGAAAGGAAAATGCTGGCAAATCATCTTGTCTGTCCAAGACTCAAAGTGAACACTCAACACGCTATCACAAAACAGCAAGCAGACCTCAGGAGCCTCTCTGGGGAGTCCAGAGCAACAGGACCAGCGAAGAAAAGAGTAATTTAAAACTAAGGTACTCTCAGGAAAATGGCCGTGATGTAGGAATCAATGTCTGACACTAAGGCACATTCAGAATATTGTAAAACATTAAGGAAAACTCCTCTGAGGTTGATGTTCCACTTGCACTAGTGTAAGGAAGAACAAGCCCCAGTAGATGTCAGTGGAGCTACACGGGAGCAAAACCCGAGGGAAAGGAGCTGCTCCACAGCTTCAAGACATGGCACAGATGGAAAAGGCTGCAGCCCAGGGGCGCCCATGCCCGGGGTCCTTATCCTTCCTTCAGGTGGGGAGTGTGGACAGCGGGGCGAGCGGCTCTGCACGTGGAATTACGGCAGCGCTGGCACCAGTGCTGCCCAGCGCCAATGCCGAGGCTGTACCACGTCTGACAGCACCCAGTGGCGAAGCAGGGGATGTGGGGGGAAGTGGGGGACCCTGTGGATGCTTGGGGGCAGGAGTCCCCCCCATGCTGAGGGCTGGCACTGCTCTGTCACCTGGCCGGGGCACCAGCTGAGCGGAGCAGAGCGTCACCACCATGCCAAATCCTTCTGGTAGCAGCGGCGATGGGAGCGTGCAGCCACACCACTGCCCGCTTCTCCATACAACACCCGTGTGGGTGATTCCCCTTTCTCCACAGCACACTGGTGGAAGAGATGGCCAAATTCAGCCTGATCTTCTACTTTTTACCCTTGCACCGCCTGCTTACACTTCGCCTCAATAAAATCATGACAAGATGAGGGCCCAGGGAACAGCAAACACCAGTTTAACAGCTCCAGCAAAGGGCAGCCAAGAAAATATATCTAAATTTATGGATGCAGAGGAAGCATAGGGATTTTCCAAATCCTGGTTCACATTAAGTCCCTGCAGCAGTTCCGCCTGTTACTGGAAAGCAGAGTGGAGCTTGTCCAGATCCACTCCAAATACATAATCAAAAGTCAAACACAACAAAGCTGAAGCAAAAAGCTGCTGAAGTGTTTGCAGCTCAAGGTCTTCACCTCCATGGCTGCGGGCTAGTGTTAGCCTTCCCCCCAAAGGGCCTTTGCAAGACAGTAAGAAAATAAACCTAGAAGTGGTATGGAGCAAGTCAATGAGAACAGTAATAAAACACAAAGCATTGATGCTCAGGGAAGAAACTCGCTTTCTCCACTAAGAGATTTAGGGACACTGGTGACCCAGAAGAGGTGGTGGTATGGTGAAGAGCTGTCTGAAAATGCAGAGCTCATCTTAAAGTAGATGCCTAATCTAGGACATCTCCAGGAGCCTGGTTTTAATCCTTCCACTGTAAAGTGCTTGGACTGTACAGTGCAGCGCCCTAAAAATCCGTCGCAGGGCTGGCGTGCAGCCTTGCCCCGTGCTGCC